TTAAAGGGTTATCTACATTTTTAGACCACAAAGTTGTTGTACCACAAGAGATTATTATCAAGAGTGACCTTTTCTAATTAGACGATCTATCTAATGTTGATGCTCGCTAGTTCTCTGGGCTACTGATTCAGCATGTGACAGAAGCATCACACACCCATGGCCACACACTGGATGTGGTCATAACGAGGGAAGATAACCCAGTCATTCATGTAGCAATTTCAGTGATTGATCCATGTCTAAGTGATGTAAAAGGGAACCAATCCGATGATCATCTTGCTGTCCACACAACACTGAATTGCAATAAGCCAGATCGTGCAAGGAAAGAAGTGAGCTTCCGAAATTCCGCGAAATTTCAATACCAGATTCAGTCTTCTTCCCCCCTTTAATCTACTGAAGGCGCGGTTGGTCTTCTTTTTGAAGCATACACATCTAGTATAAAAGCCCTTATAAAGAAGCACGCACCTCTGCAGACTAAGGTGATAACTGTGAGACCGAATGCCCCGTGGTCTAATGAAAATCTCCGCGTAGAAAAACATAACCGTTGAAAAGTGGCGACGGACCAAATTAACTGTTCCCTAAAGATTTATAGGGAACAATGTCGGCTAGTTGGTTCACTTCTCATTCATTCAAAGAAGGAATCGAAGAATGTGGTAAGGATCATAGACAGCTTTTAAGACTCACCAAAAACCTTATGGCTGAGAAAGATAAAATTATCCTACCAATCTGTAATTCTGAAGAAGATTTGTTCAGTGATTATTTTCTAAATAAAATCAGCTTGATCAGGAAAAATATTGCCGAGGTGAACACCACTGCTGACAATGATATCTCTGTCATGACTGCTGACATTGAATTTGATGGGGAACCATTCACAAAGCTCTCACCAACAACCCAGGACGAGTTGCGTTATATCATCATGACGTCGCTATCGAAGTCATGTGAGCTTGATCCACTGCCTACAGACCTATTAAAGCAAGGTCTTGAAGCACTGCTTCCTTTGATTACATCAATCATGAACAAATCATTGGCTGAGTCAAAGGTTCCATTGTGTTTCAAGAATCCACATGTTAGACCGTTGTTGAAGAACTACCGCCCAGTATCAAATCTGCCTTTTCTGTCTAAGATCTTGGAGAAGGCTGTGTCCCGGCGTTTAGAGGTCCATCTCCATGCAAACAGTCTCCATGACAACATGCAATCGGCCTACCGCATGGAACACTCTACTGAGACGGCCCTCCTACGTGTACATAATGACATAGCTTCTGCATTGGATAACAAGTGCAGAGCGGTGCTTGTCATGCTGGACTTGTCAGCTACATTTGACGTCATCGACCATGGCATACTTTATACATGATTACTCATATGGAGTGACTGATACCGAAATATGCTGGTTACAGTCTTATCTGAATGAACGACGACAGTGTGTTGCCATCGGTTCTACCACCTCACATGACAAAATACTAGATTTCGGGGTTTCTCAAGGGTCGGTGCTAGGACCACGATAATATTGCCTGTACTCCAAACCGATTGGAGAGATTTTTCGTCGCCATAGCCTTCGCTATCATTGCTATGCTGATGACACACAAATGTACATGGTTATCAAACCACAAGACAGTTGAGATACAATTTCAGAAAATCTGGAAGCTTGTCTGACATATATCAGTACCTGAATGAACACCAACATGCTAAAGCTTAATCAGGAAAAGACGAAACTCATGGTTTTTTCCCAAAGTGTCAGCAAACAATGGCTCTCCAGCTCAAGGTTGGTGCCGGAACTATTGAGACTGTCCCAGCTGTTACAAACCTAGGGTTATACTTTGATAGTTCACTGAACATGGAGAAACAAGTGAACGCTATTGCCAAATCCTATTACTACCAGATCAGGAACATCGGCTGTATTCGGGAGTTTATAACTTCAGATGCATTCAAGATTTTAGTGCATTCACTTGTTACCTCTCGGTTGGATTATGGTAACGCCCTGCTCTGTGGTATATTTGACAAACTAACTAGTCGTCTGCAGACGGTCCAAAACACTGCACGGCTGGTTACTCGTAAACGAAAGAGAGAGCACATCACACCTGTGCTATACTCATTGCACTTGTTACCTGTACGATACAGGTCGCAGTTCAAAATGTTGGTGTACACATACGAGGCACTGAATGGAAAAGCTCCCCAGTACCTACAGGAGCTTGTCAACCTGTATCAGCCGTCACGATCACTGCGGTCGGAGTCAGAATCATTGCTGTGTGTCCCAAAATCTTGTACTGTGACCTACGGAAACCGGTGTTTTGGGAGGGTTTCGGCCACGTTGTGGAATAGCTTACGATCTTCGCAAAGACGTCATGTAAATACAACCCTTTATTTGTTCATATTTTTGCACATTACGACGAGTATCTGCTTGCTTAAATGAAAAAAGGTGATTGTAAGCCTTTGTTTTTGTTTCACAATTATAACTAATACTATTATCCATATGTTATAAAGCGCTTTAGAGTAATTTTACAAATTATATATGGCGCTATATAGATGTTGCATATTATTATTATTATTATTATTAACAGCATTTGCCTTCTCAATGCATTGAAATGGAAGGATGCAGAGTAAATGTAAATAAAATTGATTATCTCTCTTTAGTCTTTATGCCCCGAAAAGACTACATTTTTCAAACTTGAATTACAGTCTGTTACATTTCGTCATTTCAGGACAAATAGACGAAACAACGGGGATTGAGATTCTTTTCGAAACGAAAAATAGTAAACAACGAAAAGACAAGACTTCAAACCGAAACGAAGAGAATTTCAGGTTGTTACAATGTAATTTATACAATAAACCTGAATTTCTTCGTCTGTCAAGGTGTGAGTTGTCGTCTGTTCGGGACAGATCAACAAAATGACATAACTCAGCCTTCGTTCATACGAGACTTTAAAATCTGACATAGAGAAATGTAAGTGTATGTATAGACACAGTGACATAGTACACGGCTTTTCAAAATAATTCAACGATAAGGAAACTGCTGCGAGGGGTTTACAATGACTGCTGCGAGGGGTTTATAATGACTGCTGTGAGGGGTTTACAGTGACTGCTGCGAGGGGTTTACAATGACTACTGCAAGGGGTTTACAATGACTACTGCGAGGGGTTTATAATGACTACTCCGAGGGGTTTATAATGACTGCTGTGAGGGGTTTACAATGACTGCTGCGAGGGGTTTACAATGACTGTTGCGAGGGGTTTACAATGACTGCTGCGAGGGGTCTACAATGACTGCTGCGAGGGGTTTACGATGACTGTTGCGAGGGGTTTATAATGACTGCTGTGAGGGGTTTACAGTGACTACTGCGAGGGGTTTACAATGACTACTGGAAGGGGTTTTCCATGACTACTGCGAGGGGTTTATAATGACTGCTCCGAGGGGTTTATAATGACTGCTGGGAGGGGTTTACAGTGACTGCTGCGAGGGGTTTACAATGACTGCTGCGAGGGGTTTACAATAACTGATGAATTAAAATTCAATCATTATTATAAGTTTGTTGTGCATTCTAAAAGAGCGAATGCGCTTATTTGGTAATTCTGAAGTGTAACATTACTGTAGATAATGATAATTGAAGATTTAAAATGAAGCAGTTCCGACACAAGTCAAGGTATATTTATAAAGTTTAGGATAGAAAAGATCCGGCAAAGCATTAGAACGCATGTGTTGTCAATATTCATCTGAGTTATGAAATATAACGTTGCTTTGTGTTGTAAGTCTTCGATGAAAAGAGATTGATTGTTTTGTCGCTTGAAGTGTCTTTGTCCAACGTCGGAGAGATACTTGATACTACGATTATCTGTCACGTATTTATTTAATGACGTCAATGAAGCTTTCGTCGATTTCAAACAAATCATGCTGGCTTCATTTCAAAACTCAAAACACAACGCATTGCTCCATTAGATCGAACATAGCAATGTTCAATATCTAAGTAATTGGAATTTCATATTTCAAAAACGATTATGTCAACTCTTATATATACAACAATATCTCTTCTCAAGATGCAGTCTTCCAGAACGAACTATATTGATACAAGTCACGTTGTGCATATTTTTTTGCAAGCCTGGCTTGTTAATTGTATTGTTTTATAAGACAAATTTCAACGGTACGTGATGAGTTTTTATGAGAAACCATTGTGTGTTTGTTCCAGTATTTAAAGAGTATATTTGCATGCGACGTCGAAGATTTGCTCCTTATAGAGCGTTTCAGGCACAGTGATAATGCTGTTGGTGGGATTTATAGACATGTACTGGTTTAAGACGATTACCTAAGTATGTGTTGGGGGAATTCCGACGGTGCTTTCACCATTAGAGCACGGATGTCTGCACCGGAGCCGTTTGAGAATCTAATACAAATGATTGAACACAGGGAACCACTACAATGCCAACGTTAGGAGAGCGACTAGATCCCACCATTCACACAAACACAATCTCACTCGTTCTCTACGGACCGCCAGCTCTGATTGAATTCATGGTGCAAATAAATATTGATCGCCTAGGGTCTCAAATCTTAAGGTCCAAATGATTTGGACAGGGCAACGGGGGATCATTTATTGGCGTATACTCTGCTGCGTCATCACTTCCACTTCCATCACCAATTAAGAGGATACACCACTCTCTGTAGCTCTAGTTCTTTATATGTATGTCTTTGTTACAGGGATATGGTCATTATGGCACAACAAACATTCAAAGGCATGTTCTACTGGGAGTTAAGATCAACACTCGGATGTGAACCGCCCTCGCCTCTAGTTCGGTATACATTATACCATAAAAGTCAATACAAATTTATCTATACAATAGGTGACATTTTTTTTGTTTGGTGTTTATAAACTCCTACACTGTCCAATTAAATATCTTGTCCTATTTACCACGTCCCTATGCTCTATGGTGCTAATTTACAGTATCCTTTTATATTCCTACACGATGTAGTACATGAAACCGTTGAATTATGAAAAAATAAGCACACACAATATATCTCACATATACATTTAATCGGTTTAATTATATTACATGTATATTTTATATACATATGAAAAACTGTGTAGCGTACAATATTTTTCACAGATTGTAAATAACGTTACCACTAGATGTTAACATAGTGTTAACAGTGTATTTGCATATATTTCACATTTCTGCTGCTAGGTCGTTTCTACAGACTCTACCAGAAGAAACTACTTTCAAATGGATATGAACGCAGTGGGGTCAGTGTCAGTGTTATGTTCCTTTATAGCCTTGCATAATATGACCATCGTACAAAGCAAACATTTTGGACAAAGGTGACGTAGGGCTGTTCCAGAAAAAAATATCTGCAATGACGATACAGACGAATTATTATCGCAAATACTTGTATAGGAGAATGAAAGTATTTAAATCACTAATAACCATGAAAGTTATTAATGATATGCTGTAGAAACCTCCATAAAGATGGTGTGCATAAGCGGCGTTCAACCAAAGCAGCATATATATAGAGGCAAGTCCAGAAATGTGTACATCTGATAAGTTTTCCCGCCACAAAGGACTTTCAAGTCCTGCTTAGCAATTAAGGAAACAAACAATGGCTGAAACCGGTTTTTAATGGATGAGTTCAACAAAATGCAAAGAAATATACAAAAAATGATTTTGGGTACTCCACCAGGCGAACATGTTGGAATACCTCCTCGGGTGAAAGTATAGGCAAATTCGAATGCGAACATAAACCCGTTCTGCATATACTCTCGAATCCGAAAAGCAGGAAAAAATGGGGACATCCGTAATAAATGCCGAGGATACAGATGTAGTTATTTATTCTTCGTATGTTATACATCAGCTGGAGGGCAACGGGGAAATTGGTCACGGGACCCCATTGTGGGAACTCGACTATATTGTTACCATGCATTATCAATGTATTCGTTTCCGGTCATATCTTCGTCTGCGGACTTTGGACGATTTGTCACTGGTTTTTAAACAGGGAGATTATGTAAATAGTTATAGTCCTACAATGTAACTCTCGTTTGTTGACCATTCTAATATCTTTTTCTGAAATATTCTATGGAATTTCTATTGTTGAGTTTTTGTGAACATATAGTACTTCTTTTGACCCCACTTTCCCTCACAGTTCTATCAATTTGACCCCATACCACACAAAACAAAATCTCTAGTATTGCAGTTCCGTTAATAAGGAAAAGACGTTTGAAATTGAAAATCGATAAAGCCTATTATACATGTACACTGTAAAATTATCAGTGAAGGAAAAATGACAACCATAGAAAAATCAATACATAAAATGGGAAGTGTTGTGTGAAAATAAGATGGAAAATTGTCAAGCTTGTTTGACATGTGATAAAGGATTGCATCAAGGACGACTTGTGTGGCCTATTTTATTTTCATTCTGTCGCAATTATTGTTAAATTCAATACATTTAGAAAAATAATCCATCTTATTGAAATCATGTTTTGTTTCATTTGTTGACGCCGATGGCATTTTAACATAACTCAAAAAAGGCGTTCAAAAGATGTAGGACCTGCTTTGAAATTATACGAAGATGTGGGATTTGATAATGGTGTTTATTTGAAAGACAACGAACGATTAATTGGTTATAATGTAGTCTATGTGTTTGATTATCTTACCGTTATATTAACTTATGTAGAATTACGTAAATTTACACAACACAGACAATTGTAAACAACGTATACAAGAATTTTATCAAAAATTGTCTGCACAATGCGTGTATCATTTGATAGCATTATATATACGAATTGCATTTGGCAGGGATAGTCTTGGGAATTGAAAAAGGAACAAGACAAATTACCGATAATTTTCAAAGAAGGATTTAAAACTCCATAAGCTAAGTAGACTTATTAAAGTGTCTGTCAAGCAATACATAAAATGTTTTTTATAATATAAAGTAAACAATATGTATTATTCAGTTTATTATCCATACGCCGTGCGAGATATCTCTCTACACGTCCATGAGTAGGCCTGGAAGGGATCTGTTTGTTGTTTATGTGTTAACTTTTTATTCTGTTGCATTACTTGAAGTAATGAATGCGTTTTGAATTGAATCCGAGCTTGATATAATACGTGTCGTGACATCAGTGATAATCGAACAGCGACATTTTGATTAATAATACGCAGCGACCAAATTAGATCTAATGAACAGATGATACATTGTGATACCTGTACGGTAACATTGTCTGTTACATCTTCTTAGCTACGTCGGCCAACGCTCTATGCGATCAATAGTTCAGCTCGTATTACCATTGTTATTTTGTCGTTCATTTTAATTAGATTTGGCTCTCTTGTTGACCAGGTTTTATCAGAATTCCGTACAAAAAAAAATACCTTGATTCCAAATGAGAACAAATACGTGATGTTTTTAACGGCAGACACGATGAAGACTTGTAGAAGCACCGGAAACCCCTTGGATCCGCTTCTGAACAATGCAACTGGTATGTACATCATGATTATTACATTGATCAGTTGTGAGCTTTCTTGGATGAAAAAAAGGGTAGCGTCTCAATAAAACAAATCATATATGTATTTATAAACAAAAAAATATCAAGTATAATTCAATTCGACAGTGATTGTCTAGCATTATAAAAGACTTTTTCGTTACATATTCAGTTGAGCCAATAACGTCGGTTTGTACTATCAATGGAAACCGGCATGAGGACAGGTATAGTGGCGGAGAATTCTAATTGTAAGGATGTACACACTGGATGAATCCGTACAGCGCAATTTTATTTCGATCTATGCCTCGGTAGACATAAACAAATTTGGACTAGGGGCTTGAAGGGTCATTTCCGGCCTCATCGGGGATTTATAATTAATTGTTCTATTCGTAATCTAGAATAAATGTAGTACGCAAATATGAAATTTCAAATTCATCCGACAACTGGTTTAGGAGATATGGCATTACAAAGAGAGACAAAAACGCGCATTTTCAAAATAAAATACGATAATGTCGTCTGTGGTGCGCTATCTGGTTGAAAATTGGCCATTTTGAAGGAAATTAACAAAAAACTCTTCAATCTTTGAAAACCTTCGCATGCAACAAACAAATAAATTTTTGACATGCTTAAACATTGTTATACCAGTGTTAATTCGTAGAAAGGAATTTGTGTTTGTCAGATGCGGAGGCTTTCAATTTTGCAAGTTTACTGAGCCAAAAAAACTATTTTAGCTATTTTTTCATAACAACACAGTTTCGTTGCTATGGTAGGGTTTCTACGCATGGGCATAGGAAAAATCTACACCAAGAAAGATAACCCCAATTAAATAATATGATGTTTATAACATAAATAACATAAATTAGCAAATAGATTCAAGTTGAAATGTTCAAAGGTGTCGTGACGGGATTAGCGGGACGATCGATAAGCATTCGTGTTGGACGGTGACGTTTGATGACACTTCCTGTGACGCCCTCTGACAGGTATCAAGTCTCGTAAACACAACAGTCGAACGCCCACAAGGTCGTAATAAGGCGGAAACCAAAGACTCGTCCTCGATTTTCATGATCTATCCCCCTGGCTCCGCAATTTATAAATCCATGCAACTGCGTTGAATGGCCGTTGAACCGTTGTCCTTAGGTTGGTCGCTGGTTGTGCTGGCAGCTGATTGTCAATATAAACACAAAGTACGACGTTGATGATCCCTTTATTGACTTTGATTGTACCGCTGAGTGACGTCTGTTAACACTGATTCTGACGTCATACATGAATGACATAGGATTTAATGTGGCTGACAGAAATAGTACATCTAACCGTTCTATTTTTGGCTTGTGTAATGGACGATTTCGAAAATTCACAATATTTCGTCTATTTTCATGATACTTTATTGTGACGTAACGCATTAGCTGTTTTAAAAGTGGACGAGACGCCAAGTTGGCTTAGTTTCAATATAACTATTATGATGCTGATGCAATCGAACGTTTCACATGCACATCAAATATAAAACGTGTCAATTCGCACAACAAATACGATCATGATAGAAAATTAAATTTCATCGCTAATTTCATCCGCCATTCGTTTTAATTTTGGAGAACAGTTTCCCATGATGCTCGAATTCGACCAACACGACTATCTCAATATGAATTCAGCAATATCATTTTTATGAAGATTTTTATAGTTTCAGGTAAACAAACAAAAAACAAAATAACAGGTTGGTTAAAGCCTGATAATCAGATCATTACATGTAAATCCTAAATAAAAATATCAAATGTAATTTTTAAGAATTGTCTGATTTTTTTTTTTGATTTTTTTTTTAATTTTGTCTTTGGTATTTAGATAATTATATATATAATCATCTAAAATTTATATACGTGTAATTTTAGTTTGGAATTCCTGTTATTATTTAAACTTGATGAATGGTTTGCTTTAACATGCTACATTTATTATCGGGCTTCGAACTCCTGAGTCCGGATTGTTATACCGACCTCTAATTAGGCGTCGCGTAGGATGAGAACAATAACCGAGAACGTATCACACGTTTAATGTGTGTATTTACAGTGGAATGACCGTGGCTGCTGATAATGACCTTGGCACTCTATGACTTTTCATGTAAAACAACAAGGCCATGCAGTTTAATGTATCATCGTTTTAAAGTGCACTATATATATTAGAATTCACTCACAATTTTATAATGAACGATTAGATGATTTGATAGCAATGAAAACAATAAATGTCGATTTTGTTTTTGAATAATTTCGTATGATGTTCTTTATTGTGTTGATGACGTTAAAAGGCATACCGTTTAAATAGGCAGCTCTTTTTAAACTCACTACCAACAATAAAAAGAAAATATTAAACACAATGTACTGATTTCAAAGGTATTGGCATATCTATAACGCAGCCAACGTAAACTTATATCATCATCTTTACTGACTTGATTATGACGTCATGCAAATGGTATTGACAAATCCTCACGTTCTTAAGACGAAAACGTAATACGATATTTTTTTCAATTGCATACTTATTTATTCATTGTGGGCTTACAATGGCCGTGTCGAAATTGAATTTTTTCATATTTGTCCTGAATTAAACAGACTTTAACGACAAGGACAAAATCAAAGATAAGTATTATGTTATCCAAAAAAACGCCTAAACAGTTGATAAGACAACTGACCAGATCATTCAAAACAGAAACATGGATACACGATGTAAACAAACTAAAGCCAAAGAGCGCAGCAGTGGATAAATACAAGTGAGAGTACAACCCGGTGTTAAGAAGTTCCCTGTCATCTATCTAGGTATAGAAGAAATTGCTACATATATGTACAAATTCTAATCAAACCCTTGAATTTCTCCACACGACCAGAACCTGATACGCGCCCTCAGACCTCATGCTGCCATTATTTAACACTGAGCGAAATGTTATAAACGAATTATTAAGTCTTGCTATCGTTGGCTCTGATATAAGGCGTTTTACCAACAAAAAATTGAATGAAAAAATATGACAAATGAAATTGATGTAGATGTACACATATATACATATTCTGAATATATTAATTCGGATACGACACGAAGGTTCTATAAGATATCAGTGTATAATCTTCACACGTGTAGAAGCATGCATACGCAGTTGTCTCCCCTCTTGTCAGAATTGTCACACCACAGGATTCCGGTATTTAATGGTGAAGGCATTCCGTGATGTTTCACCTCAGTATGACATCACACAACCTTTTCAACCATTTCACTAGTTCGTGTTTATGCACTCTCTCTTAATAGTTACTAAATGAAGTTGTTCTCGATTCCTATTATTGCTTTTCGAATTGTTTTCATGTCTTCGCTTGTTCCTTATTTGTGACATCGTTCACACGACAATGTTCTATTTTTGTCACTTCAGGTTGTTCTGTCGAGTGATCAGTTACTATGATTTTTTGCTCGACAGGGTTGTTGTTATCGAGAAAACCATCCTCAAGAGCCTTCAGGATAAAGTCAATAGTGATCTCATAAACGTTTGCCATGTAGTCGGTATATCGGTCCCCGAGCGTTATCTTCACTGCTTCAATGAACGGCTCCCGGATTTTCTGTGGAAACAAAGATAGACACATCAAAAAATAATGACAAAATAGCACATGCATTATATGCAGGTCTAAATCAGGTATGTTCTATATATACATGTACATATATATAAAGTTTTATAAAACCAGATTCAGCACGTTTTATTAAGGTCAAATTAGACGAGAATGTCAGAGTTTATGAATATATGACGTAGTAGTCTGCGCATATGGCGTAGTAATCTGAATGTATGACGTAGTAGTCTGAGTATATGACGTAGAAATCTGACCATATGACGTAGAAGTCTGAATGATTACATATAGGTTCTGCATGCAGCTGTTTTCCGGGTGGTTATTTTTGCGTTCATATTAAAATTGTTAAAATGTTACTGTAGAGTAATTCGCGTAACGATATATTTGCTGTTTGAAGATATTTCGGTATATTTACAATTGCCACTGTTTCTGAATCGATAACGTAAGTTTAGGCAAGTCTGTTTACTTGCAATAACTTGAGTGTAGAACGTGATCCAGTTCCCACCGCGTATGAATATATGTAAATATGGGCAGACTTCTTTCCGCAAACCTCGTGTCAATGTTTACAAACAAACGCTAGCATTTAGACTACCGTGCATTCGAGACACCAAATGATGTCGGGTTCGAGACAAGACAGATCATGTTCATGACCGGTCATAAAAAATGAAGCTAGTGTCAGAAGTTACAGTCGCGATTGTTCGTCGATACAAAAACGCTCCACCAGCTCCACTCGCTCATCTATGAGTGTCGTCAGCCATGACACAGAAACGATGGCTATCGTACCTAGAAATGTAGGTCAACTTTCTTGTCTCCCAAATGTTACATTAACAGTCACTCGGCCGACAAACGATTTATCCACATTATACAGTGTACATGTCATCTGTAGAAACATCCGGTTTGCTTACATTCAACTTCCACCAGACCTAGGCTAGTCACTATCGCTCGACGACATAGTAGCACTCTCTATTTCCCGCCTTTGGGCGCATCACTTTTAAACGATGGATGTCCGCGGTCATTAGTAATTTCTAGCGATAGTCGTGTCTTTGAGGTTGTTAGGTCTAAAAGTGTTGCTGAAAACCACAATTATGTATCCGTGTCCCTGCAGGTAGGGCGTAAGAATTGTACCTGCTGCCCCCATTGTATGATCGTAAGAGGCGACTAAATTATGGATCTTATCTTTTCTCTTCTTTCTAAATAACTTTCTTCTTCCTTATGTCTCCCTTGACAATGCCTCACTTTTGGCCTTAAGTTGAGCGTTCCCACCTGTGAGGAAGGCTTTGGGTTCTGTCCCCAGACCGAGACATACCAGTGTTTAAAAATGGTAGTTTCTACTCCTGCTTAACGNGGGGGGGACCGGGGGGTATCCTGCTGGTTGTCTTCGGCAGTATGTTTCAGTGAGGTAGCACTATAAAGTCGGCATCAGTTCCGCGCTATCACAAGGAGACAAACACGAACATATCGCTGCCTCTCAAAACTCACACGCATATACTACACGCATGCATCTTGCACACAGGGGAGGCCGTACTTAAATGACCATGGCTGTTGATAGGACGTTAAACAACACTAAACCAAACCAAACCAAAGTGTCAAACGTGTTGTCGATACATTCCGGAAAAGACAATATATCTCAACGAGAAAGTTTAAACAACTTAGCTTCCCTCTAAATAAACGTCAGAAAAATGCAGTGTTCACTTCATATATTTAAGAAAAGGTTAAGTTCAGTCTAAACAAAGCTACAAGGTACTGTGCCACGGCATCCCACATTGGTAAAAATGTCCATTTTTACGTAAACAACGTAATTTCACACAATGGACAGTAGTGAATTTTATTGAAACGACCCGAAAATTTGGATGATGATGATGATGATGATGATGATGATGGCAGCATTGAATGTATGGGTGCCGCGATACGCCTGGAGTACACGTGTATCACGATATATTGCAATACAGAAGGAATGTATTGCGATACGTATCCCGATTTATTCTCAAAGGAAATAGGTGTCTATATTGAAAAAAACAATGCTGTCAGCATGTTATCAACTGATGCATACATTGATTTTGAAATTTCCCACCAATATTAATAGCCAGTTAACAGTTATTCGCATATCTGTTATAATGTGAAATAATTTTCAAAGTTAAAAACATAAAGAAATTTTTTCGAAACATATTGCGATTTCGTTTCTGTATTGCGATACAATACGATATGCTGGTATATTGCAATACACCTGTTTTCGGACATATTTTGACATCCCTTATCGAATCCAAATATAATGATAATTTTTCATCGTTAAACTAAAAATCGTTTAGTTATTGATAGTTAACAAGTCTTGGTTTGTCTGACATCTGTTGACACACGTGGTGTGTTTGTGGATGTTAGTCTCTAATACCTACGAACCAACCAAAAAATCGGTTAAATCGTTCATCAATCAATACCATATGCATGGATGAAAAGTCACGTTTCAAAGAACTTTACCAAACAAAAATAAGCAGCTTCGTCAAAACAAAAACACGCAAAACTCGAATAATATAAATTCCGTCCACATATAGACATTTTCCCAGCTGAAGCCCTGAAAAGTTGAAGCTGCTTTCTAACCATTAATTGACACAGGTGCGTGTCAATTACGGTCCTAACGCCTTACACGTGAACATACATTTACGTACTGCCATTATACTAAATAAATGCTGAGACGCGAGGCGGTCCCCGGGGAGCAGACCTAGAACCGTACATCATTGGCCACTCCTGGTAAGAGCTTGGCGACAATATTCTCTTGGCCTTAATTCCTTTCTTAGAAATAGGTTAAAATTATATTACCTATCTCCCTAATGAAATGAAGCAAAGCACGCTCCACCTTGGAGCTGTTCTGAATAAGAAGCAGTGAAAGAGGGTATAATGAGTTTAAAGGATCCCCCTCACCTTATATCGTGTGAGGTTAGAGAGTGTATATCATCCGTTCCATCCTTTAGAAATTTAAATTGCTTTATCATCCTTGACAATTTTTTTTTTTTTTTACCATCAAGATCAGAATAAAGTGAAAATGAGACACATTTAAGATTAAAATTATAATTAAATCCATCAAAACAACGACCTCGTAGCACCGACCTTGATTGCCGAATAAGAAACATGTATATTTATTTTATACTATCATCACCATGACTACATCGACAGTCCTCATCATCATGACTACATCGACAGTCAAAATAACCATGACTACATCTACAGTCATCACCACAATGACTACATCTGCATTCATCAACTTGACTACATCTGCAGTCATCGTCACCATGACTACAACTACAGTCATAATACCATGACTACCTATACCGTCATTATCACCATAATAACAACTTCAGTCATCATCAACATGACTACACTTACGGTCATCATCACCATGAAAACATCTACAGTTATCATCACCATGATAAAACTTCAGTCATCATCACCATGACTACAACTTCAGTCATTTTCACCATGACTACAACTAAGGTCATCATCACCATGACTACAACTACAGTCATTATCACCATGACTACAACTAAAGTCATATTCACCATGACTACAACTTCAGTCATCATCACAATGACTACAACTACAGTTATTATCACCATGACTACACTTACGGTCATTATCACCATGACCAATCTACAGTGATTATCACCATGATTACAACTACAGTCATCAACACCATGACTACACCTACGGTCATTATCACCATGACTTCATGTACAGTCATCATCACCATGATTACAACTGCAGTCATCATCATCATGACTCATCATCATCATGACTCATTATCATCATGACTACATCTACGGTCATCATCACCATGACTACAACTACAGTTATTATCACCATGACGACACTTACGGTCATTATCACCATGACCAATCTACAGTCACCATCACCATGAATTATCACCATGATTACAACTACAGTCTTCATCATCATGACTACATCTACGGTCATCATCACAATGACTACAACTACAGTTATCATCACTATGACTACATATACAGTCATTATCACCATAATTACAACTTCAGTCATTATCACCATGACTACACTTAAAGTCATTATCACCATGACCAATCTCCAGTCATCATCACCATGAATTATCACCATGATTACAACTACAGTCTTCATCACCATGACTACACCTACGTTCATCATCACCACGACTACAACTACAGTAATTTTCACCATGACATGACTACCTATACAGTCATTATCACAATGACTACACCTACGGTCATCATCACCATGACTACAACTACAGTCATCTTCACCGTGACTATAACTGCAGTCATTTACACCATGAATTATCACCATGACTTCATCCACAGTCATCATCACCATGACTACATATACAGTCATCATCACCATGACTACCACTACAGTCATCATCACCATGGTTACAACTAAAGTCATCATCACCATGACTTCGTCATCACACCATGACAATAGAAACCTTATTGTAATAGTTGAGCATACATGTTTGTGCTCTATATTTCAAGTACCAGTACAATATCTGACCGAACAGTAACACATGGTCGAGGGGATTTTAATGTTCCTATAATGTCACTATAATGAACTCCTACCGCTACATTTAATCAATTACCGTTTCTTTTATTGACTTGCCGGAGATTTTAATACACAATTCATTGGGGAATTCTATTCCCTTTTCCAGTGCTGTCTCTAGTATTGATTTTAGTGCATTCTCAGAAATTTATTTTTTCTTTTGAGCTGATGCCAACATTCCGTGTATCGCATCAAATTCGTTTTAAAACAAATACCTATTGCTAAAGCTTAAATCCACCTCTTAATAATTCTCTAGGCGTCGGAAATAGTTAGGTGATCTGGTGATATGCTTGCTATATCTTCTGTATCTGTGTCCCGACAGTCGTTCCCAGATCCCAATCAGGGCTGCCACAGTTTGGCTCCAACCAAATTCGTCTGTCTTGAAGGGCTCAAGCTTATCCAAGAATTGGCGTTATTGATCA